CGGGATGAGGCACTGCCCTAGTGATGGGGAGCTCAAACCCCCCAGTATTGTTTGGGAGTTCAGAAAGGTAGGGGGTCACATACAAGTACACCCCAGGTACCTATTATTCTACACATTCTTATCCTATCTCTAAACTTTCTCCTTAAAACCATTTAGGACGGGACTATCTACCACCCTCACTCAGACATGTGTGTGACAGCCTACCGCACAACAGAGGGCCGCACGGACGCCCAGATGAGGCGGTGTACCCCCGGAGACAAAAACCAGCAGTGGAAGTTTGAGTGGTAGAAGGAGGAGGAGAGAAAGTAGCAGGAAACCTCAAGTGACCTTGTTTTACCATAGTGCAATTATTACAGTGGATGTCTTCTGCGCTGCTCCCAATTCTCTCGCTCTCCATGTTTGCACTCCATTTTAATGGGAATGGCGAGCAAATAAAAGGTGGTGAAAGAAAGTCACTTTAAGCCAATGATTCACCCAATTCAGCGCTTTTGTACCCATGTGAATGACTGAATAAGTGCAGATTGTGGCGGAGTGAATGATAATTGCAAGGAGAGGTTTATTTGGTCTTTTTCTGTGGAGACCTGCTGAACTTGAGACTTTTACTTTTCGTTTTGCTTTCATCCAAGTGCCTCTGCAACCAAAATGGAGTCCAGCGCACATCTTGAAGTGTCATTATTGTCATGTGTTCTTTTGATCTATTGCAACAACTTGAAAGCAGCGAAACTGATTTGACTGTCCAGCATATATTAAAGAAGAAGTGCCTTTCAACAAGATAGGAGACAGAGTATTTCCTAAAAAAACTACATGCAAAATCACGTTGCACTACAGAATGCTACCTTAATGTGCAATCAATATTAATTATTATTGTTAAATCCTCATGTGATGTTGTTGTAGTTGTCAAAAAGTAACAAATTTAAAGAGGTGCTGCTCAAAGAAAACGTGCCAGGAATGTAAGTTCAGCAGCATTTTTTTTTTTGCCCCAAACCAGCTGCTTCCTAACATGCTCCATCATGTGAGAGGAAAACGGGGGGGGAGAGAGCGCTGCAGTCATACTAGACTGCTTCTCACTTCTGTCTCTTGTTTGTGGAGCCAGTTTCATGCTAGAATGCTGCCTGAACAAGACTTGAAGCATTCATTAAGCATTTGTACTAAGTGCAATTTGCCCCAGAGGGCTCAGTGAGTTGACAGGAATGTTGTAATCTATTCTTCCCTTTCCCATGTAAAAATTAAGAATACCTTCGAAATCCAACTGTCACTGTGCCTTTGAAAAGGTCGTCGTCCTAAAAAGAACGCGTTTGTGCCGAAATGAAATGTGCCAGTGGATGTCAAATGTATTTAGAACATTTTTAAAATGCTAAAGGCTAAAACAACACTGGCTTGATGCACTTTCTATTTAGACACAAAAAGTCTTAAAGGTAGCGCCTGTTTAATTTAATCCTTCAGCTTGGCTGTGCCAGACTGTTTGTTAAGACTCCTGTGTGTAAACTGTACTTGAAAAGACATCCAAAATTCTCCTGTTTTGTTTTTTTTTCCACTGAAGACCCTGTTGGTGTTTCAAATAGGATTCAAGGACCAAGAGACGCAACTGTTGTTGAAATGTTTGTTGAATAGCAGCTGTATTTGCTGAAGACTGCTTAAAACAGAGCAGTGTTTGGTGTCTGTGGTCCTTTGACTTATTGAATATGAGATATTCATACTAGTCAATGGATACAGTGGGTAAACATATAAGATGACTCCTGTTTTGTGTTAACTTTTGTAAATAATGTTTTGTTTAAGGGACCAGAGTGGGACAGTGCTACCATAAAGCACATTTTAAAACTACTGATAATGCAAAAGGGATGATGATTACTTGATATGAAGGAAAAGGGTGATTGAAATGGGATTGATGTTTAAAGGAAGATTACAGTTGTTGGGATGATTGAAAAAATAAAAAAACTAACAACAGATGCACGTTGTTGTTTTCTTTGTTTCTGTCTCAGCTCTGCACACTGTGAGTCGTACAGTTAAACTGTCAGCAATACTAAAGTAAAAGCTTTTATTTAATTTATTTTTTTCAAATCAGTGCCACATACAATAAAAGAAAAAAACTAAGCTGTGGCTGGTTCATTTCTTGTGACTTTCTATTGTGTTAAAGATTGAACAACAACATTAATTTACTAAAGGCTGAATCTGCCACAGCCAGAAGGGGATTAAAGCATTCACTGTCATTTCGCGCCACCTACTGGTAGGATAGCAAATAACACTGAAAACTAACTGCAGTCCATAGCACACTGGCCACAGGGTCAAGGTCAGGAGAAGAATTTAAATTGGTGATGGCAGGTGAAAACCCATGAGACCAAAGTTTGGGCTCAGAGAATGACAGGGGTAAGTTACAATGCTGTTTACTCTGTCCTTGGTCCACATTTAATGTAGTAAATATTGCTACCCAAGCTATTTGAAGTCACAAAATGACATGCAGGAAGATGCAGACATTTGAAAGACTGGAGGCTTTTATCCTTAGTGGTAAACATTGAGGGAGGTGGGTTGTAATGTGACTTTTTGTTTTGAGTTTGGTTCATTTGTATACATCTTCTAATATTAGCTTGGTGGTTTACAGTAATAATACCTCCATGAGGTATATGTAGATAGATTATATTTCATATTCATATTTTTTCAAATCATAGTTTTAGTAATAATAAAACATAACAACAATGCATACAACATCCAAGGTATGGTTGGATTAAATTTTAGACGTATTAAAAATAAGTCAATTATACTGTAAATTGCTTGTTTTAATCTTTTCAGGGAATCCATATCATCTTCTTCTGATGGAGGTGAGAGGTGTGAGCAGTCAACAGAGGAAGATGCGAACATTGTTCAGAGGGCCAGAGTGAGGCCTCCTGCATAAAGCTGAGTGAGGCTCGAGTAATGAGGCAGAGAAAGGAGCAAAACCAAAACATAGGAGGACGGATATAAAGGTAGTCAGTGATATTTGGAATGATTCATTCAGAGGATCAATTGTTTGTTTCAGTTTAGCTGCAGATCAACTGAATTGCACAGCACAGATCTGTATTTCTGTTACAAATAGTATGTGTGGTGATTGTTGACTGCCGGATCTCTTCAGGTTTACCTGCAGCAAACAATTGTGGACTTCATATACGGTTGTAGCCTATGTGCTTTCAAACATACAGTCGGCTCCTTTGATAGAAATGTCCCTTTATGCCTCTCCATACAGGATTTAACCCAGAAAAAACAACTGGGTGAGCTGTCGTAGAGCCATTACTCACATTCCTTTATGCCTTTGGTTGCACAGTGACAGCTCGGTGGCATGTTGGCTTCAGTTCCTTTTCGAGTGCCATCTTATTTATTTCCTTCTCAGGATAGATTTTGTCGTTTGACAACTTTAAACTTCATGCCCTTTAGGTTGTGCTGGTTTTGCTAGGCTGCATTTTGCAACGGTCCATCTGCTTTTTCAATGTGACTGTCACAGTTATGGGGTGTGAAACCCTTATCTTCTTATTTCAAGCACAGTCATACACTTTGACAAGGGGTGTGGCAGACAGATTCAACCATTCTCCTACCCTGTCAGAGACAAGTTGATCAAGGACTACGTGCAACTATATGCATTGTCACTGGTCCAGTACATTCTTTCAATACTCTTCCTCACTGCCTATGATGGATTAGTTTCACACTGGCATTTTAATTGTTTATTAAATGTTTTAATTAAAAAAAAGGTCATTGTTGAAAGATAGGAATTATGAAAGTAACAATAAAAATCATATTTTGAAAATAACGAAAACTCATATTAGAGTATGTAGAATAAATAAATGCCATATTTGTTTACATTTATTTTATTTTATTTTGTCCATTCCAGATATACAACAGGGAGGATAAGAACTTAGCCCTCAGGTGTATGCTCACCATTGTTTTATCTTTCCTGTTAATACATTTGCACCAAATATCTGTTGCATGGAAAATGTCATCCATCACCCGGCCCTAAATGAAAATGCCCTCATGCAGTAACATTAATATTGTGTCTCTGACAGACACGACGAGCCCAGTCTACCGTGGCATATTACAACACTCCGGCTGACTTGTTGCCTTCCCGTGTCTCTTTGTAGTTTTCACAATATGGGTACTCGATCAAACACTATGCCCACTCAAATTACCCCCTCGCCTTCAATGGTCACCTTAATTATTTAGCATTTTAATTTGCTTAAACATACATTTTGTGTCAGATTTCATCTTTGGTGTCAAGAGTTTTCATATCAGTTTCATATGAGTGACAACTGGCTGCATATAAAACAAGACCACCAAGGTAAAGGATTTCTAAGCTTATAGGTCCTAGGTCCTCCCAGGGTCATTTAAGGGGTTATTATATAACATAGTGTATTATTTGAACATAGTGTATATGTGTGTATTTTAGTCCAGCTACAAAAGTCTATAAATTAAATCTCTGTAGGTGATATTTGGAAAAACACTAATTCAAATCAAAGTGTCTGTTTGAGTATATCTCAGACCATAACATTTGTCTCTTGTGAAAGATTTAATTGCAGGAACAGGGGTTGAACTTCACCTTTGTCAATACATTAAACTTCCGGTTTAACATCCGGCTGTCTTCAAGTTAAAAGCGTAAAAATTGTCGCATCACTCGAATGTGAAGCAGTGGTGGCACATAAAGAAAATCCACCTCTTAACAAATTAAGGGGAGAAATAACATAAACAGGATATCTAGAATACAATTAATTTTTTTCTAATGAATCCTAGAAACCAATATTACAATACACTTGATTATACACTTAAACATACACATTAAATATTATTTAAAGTTTTATAACATGAAAAGTGACTGTGCATTTTGGTTAAAACTAACTGTATCGTTCCTTTGTTTAATAAATTACCTGTCATGCCTTTTTGATCAATTCCAAGAAAAAAAAACGTTTCTTAGCTGCCGTTATAAAGTTTACCGTATTTTACTTTGACATCCGCAAACCGGAAACGTACGTGCTAGCTCGGCTAACTTGACGTTGGTTCAAACTTCCCCTCAAGTTCAAGTAACGTTAGCTGGCTGACAAACTTCAGCCTGCTTCCTGCAGCTGTGTGTAACCTCTGCTGGACGGTTTAGTGAGCGAGTGGCTGGACACACCGTTGATATATGCCTACTTAATTGTTTAATATTAATTATTTGGGCTGAAAACTAAAGGAAACAGTGGACCGTTTTTTTGTTTTTTTTCTCCTCTCTTTGATTTGACCTAGATTTGTTTTGTTTCCAGCTGGAGCCCTACATGGTTAGGTGGTTATAGTTAGCTAATCCGAGGAGATAACTAGCTTAATCCGAGTTTGTTAATCCGTTCACACTTCTCTTCAGGGACAGGAGGAGGAGGAGGAGGAGTGGGAGAGTATTTGGTCCAACGTCAGTCAAGAGCTCAACAAGTATCTAACCAAAACTTTAAAGTTCAGTAGCTAGTAAATTGGACATTGTTAGGACCGAATGGGAACTTAATTAGCGGCTGGAAGTATGCGGAGTAAACCCGGCGTCGTTAAACACAGGGCAGCGGCGGTAGGTGCCACCGGCGGAATGCAGCTCCTTTGGGCATGAAACTTCAACCCGACTCCGAACCAAAGGAAAGGAAGCGACACGATGGCAGTCTGCGGAAGGAGGAATCGACCCAAGTTACTTTTCTGCCTCTTCGGCGTCACTTTGGTGGGATATGTCGTCTTTTTCAGACACAACTCCGGAGACGTGAGCGCGACGAATCGGCGAGAGGCCCCCGGGGAGCGAGAGGTGGACAACGAACAGCTCAAGAGACCCGTCTACGAGAGGCCCCCCTTGGATTTAAATGCCCCGGGTGAAATGGGGAGAGCCGTCAAACTGAATCTGAACGGAGAGGAGAAGAAGAACGAGGAGGAGAGCATTAAAAAGCATCAGATTAACACTTATGTCAGTGATAAAGTGTCGCTACACCGCAGGCTGCCAGAGAGATGGAACCCACTGTAAGTAACTGATGTAGTGGTGTCAACCATTACACCAAAGAGACACTATTGTAATAAAGTTAAAGGGGGTTTTCTACACTGCTGAAGTCTTGCTAACTCACTAACTGCCTCTGAGACATTGTAGTCAGACTTGTGAGTCATTTGCTGTTGAGTAATAACTGCTTCTTGCCATATCTAAAGGTTTTTGTGCTCCCTTCTTTTGGTTATCAAACCTGGGTATTTACTCAGGCAACAAAGCTTTAAGCTCCGTGCAACCAGCTCCTGCTAGGATGTCGGTGTGCAGATTTAACCCATTCACCCAGCCCCCCCTTCCTGTCCCTGTCCAAATCTGTCTCTCCTAACAACTTCCTTACCTTGCAGTTGCAGAGAGCTGAAGTACGACTACCGGTCCCTGCCCACGACCTCTGTGGTCATTGCCTTTTACAACGAGGCCTGGTCCACCCTGCTGAGGACGGTCCACAGCGTGCTGGAGACGTCGCCTGACATCCTGCTGAAGGAGGTGGTGCTGGTGGATGACTATAGCGACAGAGGTACGGGGGCCCCCGCAGACTGATGGAGGGATGCTGAAGCAGACAGATTGATGGACAGGCAGAAGGGCTGTGTGGGCAGGCAGGCTGTCAGAGGGACACTCAAGGAGGCGTGCAGACAGGTGGCAGGCACTGGTTTGTCAGATAGAAAGAGGGGAGGAAGGAAGATAGACTGACATGTTTGCAATTAGGAATGACAAACAGAGATACAGGAAGGTATTGGCAGGTAGTGAAACTAAAGGGAAATTTAATACACCTCCAGATAGACTCACAGATATCAATGTCACCTGTCTGAGCATTTAGTCCATAGCATCTTTTTATGTATTCGTATACACAGTTTTATGTGGCCAAACTAATTAAAGAGGCCATTCTACTTTGAAGTCATTTTTTATTTAGTTTTCTGTGCCCAGACCGAATGTGACGAGCTGAGACACTTTTAAGGGAGTGGTTCTTTTTGGCTCATGACCCAATAATTGAAGCAATGCCTGCCTCTCCCTCTGCGCTAACATTGGCTACTTCCACAGAGTGCTGAACAACTACACCAAACAATGATTTTGCTGTTTTAGGTTGTTTTCATTTGAGGAGGATGTGTAGAGAGCGAAAAAACTAGTCATCATCACATTTTTAGAGGGCAAACGCAGAAAAGCACATTTTGTTACAGATTTGTAAAGCACAGATGTGTTAGTATTCAGTCTCATAAATCAACACACAGACCCTCAGACTGATATGATCAAATGACCATCTAGGGGGTGCTGGCTGCCTCGGAGCCACAGATGAATGAGATAACTTACTAAAAACCCATTTTATTATTGAAACCCATCCAAGTACTGCAGTGTTAGTATTTTAGTGACAAGGCCCCCTGATGAATGCAGTGATTGTGTATCAAACACTCTTAAACACAATTTTCCTTTCTTTCTTAATCAGCTTTACCAGCTGCTGTTAAAAGCTGGTAGCAGATTGTCATCGTCGTTTCATTTATTCATGAGAAACCGCTTTCAACACAAGCATTGCCTTCTTACGCACACATAGGAAATAACACATTTTTATCAGATGTGTTGTTTTGATTTATTTGTTTACTTGTTTATTTCCTGAAGCACATCTGAAGGAGCCATTGGAGACGTACATCTCAGGTTTGAGGAAGGTGCGTCTGATCCGGGCCACCAAGAGGGAGGGGTTGGTGCGGGCCCGGTTGCTAGGGGCGTCCATTACTACGGGTGATGTGCTGACCTTCCTGGACTGTCACTGCGAGTGTCATGAGGGCTGGTTGGAGCCCCTCCTCCACAGGTTAGAAAACCCTCAGCAGGAGAATTTAAGGACTCTTTCTCTGAGTAGTTTGTCAAAGTGTGGCCTTGTGGTTAGAAAGACTATCTTTTAGCCCAGCTGAAGTGTCACAGAGTGAAGCACTGAGCCTCTACCAGCCGGCTGAAGGAGTGCTGTTATGATCTCTCTCTCTCTCTCTCTCTCTCTCTCTCTCTCTCTCTCTCTCTCTTATTCTCTCCTTCAGAATCAAAGAGGAGCCATCGGCTGTCATCTGTCCTGTCATCGATGTGATCGACTGGAACACCTTCCAGTATTTAGGGAACTCTGGTGAACCTCAGATTGGGGGGTTTGATTGGCGGTTGGTGTTCACCTGGCACTCTGTCCCAGACTATGAGCAGAAACACCGTCACTCGCCCACCGATGTCATCAGGTGTGATGTTAACATTTTTTAGGGATAAATTTACAGAATAGGCCTAATATAATACCACTTTTGTCAGCTGGTACGAAACCTCATCCTGATATATCACTTGTCTCATCCACATAAGTCATAATTTATAATATGCAGGAAAATTATTGTCCAATATGTTTTTTTTTCTCCTCAGGTCTCCTACTATGGCAGGAGGCCTGTTTGCTGTGAGCAAGAACTACTTCCATTACCTGGGGACATATGACACAGGGATGGAGGTGTGGGGAGGAGAGAACCTGGAATTCTCCTTCAGGGTAAGAAATTATGTGTCTGTATGTCTATGTTCATGTATTCTGCATATGTATGATAGGCCCTAGCTTTATGCAAAATTGGCACAATTCATGTACTGTCTCCATATTGGCATGCAATATTCACAGCTTTAGGCACCACAACGCACACTGAAAAGGCGGGCCAGATCTGGTTTACATTTACCAAGCTCTGCATCATGTGACGACTCCTCATTCCCTGTGAAAACCACCCTTAAGGGGTATAACTAAACAACCAGCAAAAACGGGCCAAATGTCCTAATCCTCTAATTGCAGTGAAGAATTTGAACATCCCTTTTCTTCAATAACCGCAATTTCCCAAAGGGAAGGAACCAAAAATATTTCCCTTCAACCAACAAACAGCTTCTCTGTTTCCAAACTCCTCCACAACAAGGCTGTGCTTTGTGTTGCCTGATTGTACGATTGAATTATGGCTGAGAGGCTAACCAAATTCTGGTGGTGGTGGTGGTGGCGGTGGCGGTGTTGTTGATGTCTCCTAGATTTGGCAGTGTGGGGGCAGCCTTGAGGTCCACCCATGCTCCCATGTGGGTCATGTGTTCCCTAAAAAGGCCCCTTACTCACGGAGCAAAGCTCTAGCAAACAGCGTGAGAGCTGCTGAGGTCTGGATGGATGAATACAAAGAGGTCTACTACCATCGAAACCCCCACGCACGACTGGTGAGTCTGCACAGATGGTGTGCTTTAAGCATGTGTGTATGTGCTAGAGGAAGCCAACATAACAAGTTATTTATTTTTTAAGCAAGCATATCAATGACATAATTATTTGTTTCCTTCATGGAGTATTGCGAAGGCTGTGTTTGTGGTGTTGTTGTTGTTGTTGTTGTTGTTTTTGTACATCGGCATTCATCACAAAACTGTAAGACTGATTAATCACTTGATTTCACCAATGTACACACTCTCAGTTCCACACGCCCACACATGCACAAAATGACATGCACCCTCCGCTCTCACAGATTACACACACACACACACACACACACACACACACACACACACACACACACACACACACACACACACACACACACACAAACACACTGCACTCCCGCTGTGGTGTAAAAGCTCCCCTGATTAAGTGACACTTGGGATACATGAGCGGCAGACACCCAAGGTGACAGGGGTGTCAGGGCGTTCCGGTGTGTGATTACCACCTTTCCGTGTCACTCGGTGCCAACGGGTGTCACCCACCTGTCCTTGACAGGGTGAGAGCAGTGCTAACCCATGGGGTGCCCTGCCTTTGTACGTGTGCATAGATGGAAGGGGTTGGGCCAGTGTGTGACAGTGTAGTTAAGAGGAGAAGCTCTCTAAACACAGATCAGGTGGCACTCATCTCCCTGAGAGGAGGTATTCTTGCCAAACCCGCAGTGGCACCACAAACCCAATACAGCAAACCCTTCAAACAAACACTGCGGCTACTCCTCTTCTAAGATTTCTGGGTAGACACATGCCATCTCAAATATTTTGCAATATATTTAATAATTGTATTGAATGAAGTTTCATTATTATGATATGATTTTTCAGCATCCAATGTGGGTTACTTTTACTGTTCTGGCATTTGCATGAGTTTCAGATACCAGAGGGTGCAAAATATTATGTCCACTGGCCAAATGGCTAATGACTGTTCAGATACTAACCACTTAATATATTACCATTGTTTATTTGTCTGGGGAGTGAAGCAAGTCTACCAGCCACTTGCATGTATTACCAGCATTTGGCTGGTGGCTGGTGCTAATTTTGTACCCTGAGATGCTCAGTTTGCAGATTTTGTTAAACCTTACAAAGAAATAGTTAATCTCTTGTTGTAGCTTTGAACAATAATTTGTATGTTGTATTATTTTGTATATTCCTACTGAATCTCTTAGAGTTAAAAGCCATTGTCAAAGCAGAGGCTGTTTTGCAGAAGCTACACACACAGAGTTCCACATTTTGCCCTTTAAGGATCAATAAACTTCCTTTGCTAGAGATAAATCCAGGAAGTGAGATGTTTATTTTCATAATTAGTACTGGAGGTTTGGTATGACTACATTATGCCTCCACTTTTAGTCCTAAATTGGTTTCAAGCCCACAATCTAGGTAATTTGAGCAAGTCTAATACATATATTGATGGCTAATTTGAATATTTCCAATAGGTGGTTACAATGTCATCCTCTCCAGAGCAAAGAAAACATTATATTGGGGTTGCAGCATGACGGAGTCACTTAAACTGTCATGTTGATGAGTTAGCTGTCAGTCCATGTGAGTTATGTTTACAACTCTTAGTTAATAAGTAATAAGGTAGCGTGAAACCTAAATAAACTAGATTCAAAATGCAACAGTGTATCCTTTTCAGGGATGACTCAGACAAAAGAGAAGGAATCTCTAAACATGTTTTGGTTGTTTTCCCACTGCCTCTTCACTCTCCCCACTAATTGTCACCTCTCTGGCCTCTCACATCAGATTGTCCTCCAGTTGCTCCTTAAGTTTTTTTCTGTGCCCTGTTGCTGATCCATATGCTGGACTGTTGCACTGCTAGTTAATCTTTGACATTTGCTGATCATTGACATTTAAGTAGAACTTGTACTGGTCCTTAATTTCCCCCTTGATGACCTCGTACACTGTAGTACATCATTGTCCCCCGATGGTCCTTACTGGTCCCTCTCATTGACTGTGGACTCTCTCCTTTGGGAGTCCCTCTCTTGACCAAATAAATTGATGAAGGGGCCAATTAAAGCTGTGTTTGGACAAACCACAAACATCCATCATCCTGCAGTGCTGCTCAACCTTTCCTCCAGCAGGGAACGTACGGTGAGCGTATGCTCACCAGCAAATCAAAGTGGAGACTGTGTTCTTCCCTGTCCTGTAACTCATTGTTCATGATCACTGTGGCGTGTGTGTAACTGTATGCATAAAGGTATTTACTTAAGCACAAACATATTGCCTTTACTTACATGCACACACACAGACGCTTGCTCTTATCCTAGTCTGTTTGACTAGGATATAAGAGTGGTTTTCTGTTAAGAGCTCTGTTTGTTCTAGGCTGTGTTGTTGTTATTATTATGGATGTAATTGTGTAGAGTTATGAAACAACTATAGATGGCACTATTGCATACCATTTCGGCAGAGAACTATGCTATGATTACGTCTTTTGACACTGCAGCTGTCTGACACTGACTGCATCAAGAGTGCACACAGCCGGCCTTGATTTGAACCATTAACCATTAATGCATTAGCCATTAACTGATGCTTATCATTATGTAATATCCATAGTGCAGTTTATGGATATTTAGGCAGAATTGGAAACTAAAATAATACGGTGGAACTATCATTTGTGGTCTGTGTTTCTAGGAGGCCTATGGAGACGTGACAGAGCGGCGGAAGCTCAGAGAGAAGCTGGGCTGCAAGAACTTCAAGTGGTATCTGGATAATGTTTACCCCGACATTCACGTCCCAGAGGATAAGCCAGGCATGTTTGGAATGGTGAGAACGCATCCGTGTCGCTGCTTATCAGGTTTAAAATTTGAGTATAGAATTTAGCAATTCTCTCCAGTTTGATTGAGTTTAATCAAGCTGAGTAGTGCAGAAGAGAGAAAAAGTATGATATTTCCTCAGATTAAGATGAGCTTTGGCATTCATATCCTCACCGACATATGAGCTCCTGTAAGTTATATTAAGAATAGAAGAATTGATGTGACTGCTTCTTGCTCATTATAGCTGAAGAACCGGGGAAAGACCAACTACTGTTTTGACTACAACCCTGCGGATGAACACATGGTGGTGGGCCAGAGGGTCATCCTCTACCCGTGTCACGGCATGGGTCAGAACCAGGTATTGGACGTTAGTCTTTCAGGCCATAAGCCATAGAATGTAGTCTGTTGTAATGGTCGTTAAAATGTTATTTCTAACACTGAGAAATGTCAATGTACAATTGTATTAGTATCAGCTTTATTTGAGAACTATAGTCTTGTGTTTCATCTAGTTGCTGATGTTTTTCCACTTTACCACATAACAGTTTGTGGGTAAAAAAGAATAATGTATGCTTTCAGTTAAAAACAGATGAAATTATAAATATGTAACACATGTACACTATTAGCTTATCAAAACTACATTCTGTTTAGGCTTAAGGCTACTCTATACAAGATACATTGAGCTTTGTTGTGTCTTCAGTGATATGGGGTTGTGCCAACAACATTTGCTAACAAGAATATTGAAAATGCTACTTGCGAGATGCGAGTCCCAGTATGCCTGTAGGTGTCACCTGGCCAAGTCACTAGCCTCATTATGATTCATCTCCCCCTTTCTTATGCTAAATCATGATTATCAGTAGCTGCAGAGACTTTCAAAGTAATACAGTCACCTTATTTCACAGTAAACTACAAGGGTTTGTAGTTTTAATGTTACAAACCCGGGAATAGAGGACTAGTTCTTCTATCTCAGGTTGAAAAATGATGTGATGGCCTTGTTGATACAAAGGAGAGTGCATTTCCCAACACATTTATACTCTGCGGTTGACAGTAGTCCAGGAAGCACAGTGAAATTTACCATTGTTATTTCAGCAGCCCTCTGTGGACACACACTGATGTCGTCTCTGTAGGAAGTGGGCTCAGCAGTGCTTGTGTTGTCTGCCTTATGAGAGTGCTCTCTCTGCATGTTACAGAATCATATTCAATTCACACTTCCATTCGTTGTCTGCACACACACACCAACAGTACACATATGTATATGTGTGTGTGGCTATCTCTCAGTACACTGTGTCCATTTTCTTTGTTGCTGCATGTCTTTTCTAGTCACAGATAAAGATGCATACATACAGCACATATGCGTGTACAGATTATCTGACAGTGACTGAAATTACATCCTTGACTAAATTCTTCTTTCTTAAAAGTGAGATTTAAACTTTTTAGATGTATTAATACATTCAGTAATTTATTTTTTTCTATTCAGCTTAGAAAGTTTGCATGAAAAGATTTAGATTGAAACCCAGTTGTTTCGTCTCCTCCCACAGTTCTTTGAATATTCCACGGATGGCGAGATCCGCTATAACACGAGGGAACCTGCTGGCTGCATTGTGGGCGACAATATCAGCACTTACCTGACTGTCCAGCTGTGCAGAAAACGAGGGCAACCTGTACCTGTAGACCAGAAATTTGTCCTCCGAGAGGTAGGGAGCATATTTCTGTCTTCAGTGTCTGTATTTATGAAACGAAGATTGGACCAAAGAGACAGTGTGTGTGGTCAGGCAGTGGTGAATGAGTAATGAGACAGGCAGTGACACGGTAGCAGTGAAAGGGCAGGATGGAATGAGGTTTTGAGTTCCACATTCTATATGAGTTTCTCTTTTGAACCACCACTAATGGTCCACGGTATTCTGAGAACCAAATTCTCAAACAGTTACTGTTTCTAGCCCGTTCTCCAACTCCACAGCCATCCAATCACCCACAAACCCCTTCTGTTTCTGCCTTCTCCTACAGACCCTCTACTTGTAGCTGCAAATCTCTTGTTTCTTTTGCCCCATGCATGGACAGGGTGAAAAATAATACTAAAATAAAATCAAATAATACTATAATAACTAAAAATCTCATAATTAAATACTACTATAATATAAATCTTTTAAATGTTATTACTGGATTAAAACTAGGAGAACTGTATCCCCCCAGGACCAAAATCTAACTCTACAGTTAGAAGCACGTAGACATGAGCTTCTCCACAGGTGTTGAGCACAAGCGTGGCTGATACTAAACTGTAAATCACAGAGCTCCAGCCAGCTGGGTATTCACCACACAATGCTTGCGAGTTGTTTAGCATGTGTTCAGTGTAGTCACTCCACACCGTTGTCGGTAGCTAAACCACACTATCTAAATGTAAATGGATCCAAGTAGGACAGAATGGATGTAACAAGGGGTGCAAGAAGGCAGAAGAGTGTGGGGAATTGGACAGTAGAGGCAGGGAGAAGAGAAAGTGAAGCAAACAAAAGATTAAAAAAAAGAAGGGTAACGTCTGTAAATGCACAGGTCAGGGCTGAATGTCTTTGTCCCAGTAGTGAGCCTTTTTGTTCTTAAAATAGGGTTGAAGATGAATCATGATTAGTGTTACAATTAATTTTTTCTTGCTTCATTTGCTGGCTGTTTTTCAGGATGGGAGCCTGTACCATATGGTGAGCCAAAAGTGCATTCAGGCTGTGGACAAGACCGACAACGGGAACCCAGCCCCTTCGCTCCAACCCTGCTCCGACAGCCTCCTCCAAAAGTGGTTCTTTGAGGAGAGAATGTAATGGTATCAACCTAGAATATATCTACAAGTATGTTTTTTCATTCAGGACCAATATCCTGAGGGATATGGGTGGGTTGAATTGCGTAATGTTTTCCGATGAGTTTGCCTTGCCCTAAAAGGAGCCCAAAAGGAAGGAAGCTTCTATGCTCCCTTCCAAATTTTAACCTTTGCACATTTTTTTGTGCCAGCTGGATTTAATAGACCAACAGGAAATTATATTAATAATTATACTGATGAAGTACTTTGTAAATATATATATGGGAATGTTTTTTTTTCGTGGATACTGTTGCTGGGAGACAGGAGCCTGCTGGAATATGCATTTATTTTCTAATCAAGGGGATGCTTGAGAATTGGTGATAACCAGCACTATCGTACATGCTGATTTTTTTTTATTTACCCACTCCACTACTGGGGCAATCTTTGAGAATGAGATCAATTTAATTCACTTCCCTAATGCACGCATGGACAAACACTAAAACACGCGTGCATGTGTCTGAATGAAAGTGACTGCTTTACACCGCTGTAAACAAACTCTTAAGAGCTGGTGGCCGACATTACAGTGATTTACACAACCACGTCAGAAGGCATTTCAAAACATCTGCGTCTTCGCCTGTAGAGGGGGCCAACGCTCCTCTCTGCGGCTTCCTTTCTTTCACTGTGTTCTCTGATTGTTAGGAGAAAGTGGGACAAATCTTCAGGTATTTTGTGAACCTTTTCAGGACATTTTGAGTGCTTGCTACTCTTACATACCAGTGGCTTATTTAAAAAAAGCCTTCGATCACAGGCATTATGCAAGTACCTAGTACCTCTTCAACTTAATCATCTAACTACTGATAACAGGAGAAACTCTTATTATGTTCTGCTTTGACTGAAGTCATTTTGCAGTGCAAATTTAACTGAGGTAAACTGACATTGGTTGTTTTGGTAGTTTTGTAGTCATTTTTGTAATATTTGTTTTTCAACATAGTGTCTCTGTTTTGTGCTCTTTAAATGATATGCAGCTACAAAAGACTAAATCATAGCCATATTTAATGGATTTACTTCATGTGGTGTCAACTATGTTTATTTTAAACTATGTATTTTCTAGACAAGACTGTTATTTCATAGCTTCACTGGAGACGAATCGCACCTTCAGTCATAAATAAGTTGGAATTTATTCACTGTGAGTGCAAATACATAAACACTGAAATTGCAAGAATTGGATCTTCTTCCCCATATTACTTGGAGTCCATAGACAGTGCCTGATGTAAAAACCATATAATTCTATTTTAAGATATCCCTTCAGGTTCAGAGACGGAAAGAGAACAGTTAGAGTTGTCACAACGTGTCTGCACACTGATATGTAGGCTCCCCTGCTGAGAATACAGTATACAGAGGCAAGAAGGTATTCCCTTGAGTGTGCATGTATTACTCTGGCAGCTTGTACTGATTTGCGCACACTGCCTCTGTCTCCATTCATCAGAATCAGACGAGTGTAGACCCCTCCGCTTGGAGCTGCGGTCACTTGTGTGGCTGTCCTTAAGGCTATGCAGAGGGACTCAGGGAAACACAGCAGAGGCATAGACAGTTGTTGGTGTCTCCAGAGTACTGGGATGCCAGATGGCGTCCTGATTTATTTTCTGGTCCTCTCCCAATTCTTTATCACCACCTCTCCCTCTCGGTGTCAGAGTTGTGCCGTGGAGGACTTATCTTTGGACTTGCGCCATCCAAATCCTCCTCAGATGAGCACTTGTTACTCGTGTGCTTGAGGTTTGATTTATGAACGGAAGTCATCAGGAGTACGTTTTTTGACAGCAGAAGCAGATAATGGAGAAGACTGAATGAAGCAATTTGTGACCTCTTCCTTACCATTAACCTTCACAGGCTGTTGGTCCATCGGTCTCAACTGAGCTCTGTTAGGAATTGATGTTAGGGGACGATCGCACTGAAATAGATTTTTGGTATTGATTCAGAAAGTATACTCACAATAAGATAAATGGGAGATGGAGGGAAAAAGACTATGTAACTAAGACCCCACGGAGGAGTACAATCAGTTGCCAAATATAATGATTGTACAGTTATCTGTAAAGGTGACGTTGCAGGAACATGGTAACATCTGTTCATGTGAGCTCACATAGTACAAGCCTAAAGGGACGGCGCAAGATGTGTGCTTTACTTTCCACTCCGAACATGTATTGACATTGAACTGGAAAAGAGCGTCATGGGATAACTGTGTAGCATGAAGGCACAAAATATGTTCCAAGTGTATTGGAATATGGGTATCTTCATCACTTTTTGGGCGGGTTAAAGTTCCCAGTGGTCCATAAAGGCTTTTGCTGGCATTATGAGTGGTACATGATTGCACAGCTAATGCTTGGTGATAAGTGGAATGGGCCAAATGACCAGTAGGAAGATTATGGTGATCTCCATAGAGGGAGGGGTCGGGCAGCTGTCCCAGGATTGCGTGAATGTTTTGGGCGATAAAGCTAAAAAGGGGCTGATTGTGTACCACAACACTGCTCGATCTTGGTCTCAAAAAGTTTGGAAAGCGGTTGTTTTGTTTTTTAGGTGTGTGTGCTCTCTGACTAGCCTGCAGACTCTCGTGGAATTTCCCTGTTACGATTTAAGACTGAAAAGCAGCTTCAATGAGTATCATCCGTGAGGGATCAGACTCAACAGGAACAGGTGAAATTGCCCTTTTAATACAGCGCTCATGCTTTATGTATTGAGCACTTAAGAAGTGACAGCTTTTCCATTTCCATCATTTTGTGTCTTTAGCCTGTGAGTGCAGTATAAATATTATATTCTGTTATTAAAAGGGGTTATTTATTGTCCCCCGTGGCCATCTGTTATTCCAGACATGTCCTACATAGTAAAACATTTTTTACGCTGGCGTTATATTGTATGCTAATGTGATATGGTACTCGCAGCTACAGTCAAATTGATATTCGCCAGTGGGGGATCATATCTCTCTGGCAGGTCATATAGGGCTTTTATATCAACCAAACCTGTGTCGTAAACAGTAGTGATATTCCAGGGATCTGCTCGAGCACTTGAACCTGTAAAGTGGCTTATTGTACTGTGACCCAACCCTAATGGACCATGCAAAAGCATGCACACATCTTCTGTTTATAATGGTAAACTATTCCCCATTGGAGACATTTCAGTTGTATGAGTTGTAAACATACACAAATAATAATGCTGGAATCTTAACACCGTGTCCGGTGTATTAATGCTGTCAGTAACACCAGTGGCCTTGTAGAGTGTAAAGTGAAGGATATGATTAATACGATTTTTGTATTTGTTCGATCCAATAAACGGATCAAATCTGATGTCAATGTACCTGTTTAACTGTTGTCAACTGAAAGTCAAAGTAAGTAAACATACATTTAATGTTGGATTCGTGTTTTTGCCTGTTTGTGCCTGTTCTTGCTCATGTCTTTTTGTTTTTAATGTTTTTATGTCTTTAAAAATGTGCATCAATATTTAAAAAACAACTTTTGATATCTACACCGTTGCATATCCATTAAACTGTGACTCATCAGTGGCAAAAAAAACAAAAAAAACAGGCTATCATCCACATTTAACTGTGATGGAGACGTGAATCAAGATGCTCGGAGGGTAATGAGAGAAGGAAAATGAGAAATAGAAAGGGGGGAGTGAGTTTTCCAACCATATCTGATTGGTTTGATCACCAGCTGCTGAGTGAGACGGTGAAATGTCGTGCCCGCGCCAAGTCGCCCTGTTCCCCCTGGTGTTGACGCTCTTCCCTGCAGCCTCCCTCAATTACTCATTGATGATGCTCTGCTGTTTGTTTCATAGGATCCTGAGTGTGTCTGGGCCATGTCTTTGCAACAGCAGTGTGGTGAATGCTGGTTAAAAGGTATAACCATACAAGCTTTTTTTTTTGTGTAGTAAGAAGTAAAAATGCCCTTTTGTCATATTAGAAAATATAAAATCCCATACGAGTGCATCTTTTAATTCCAGTTTGTTAAAGTGCACGACACTGCTGAAAATAATAGCGTGGAACATTTGTTCCCTGTATGAGACGAGCTGGTTTCTCTCTCGCGCAGGATGACATGCTCTGGTGGAAAACTTGCCAGAAATCTTCACATTCTGACAAATACTGCCTAGACAACACTTGGCTGCTTCCTAGGAAAACGAGAAGCACTGTAGAAGGCTGTGATGCTGCTGTCTGTAGCACCGTCTCATCCTAATCTTTTAGGTGCTTCCCTGTGAGATATGCAGTACTAAATAGCGCCATAAAATATCCTGAAAATGCGTGCACACAAACTGCTGTATGTCGTTGCAATCTCTGCACCCCAGCGTAGGCCTGTTTTTTTTTTTTTTTTTGTTGATCTGGTGTGGCTCACATGCAGCACCACAGTCTCCCACACCCCATATGCGTCTTTAATGATAATGCAAAACAAGGCTCCCTGTGGTGCAAGTCTTTGGAGATGCTCAGGCTTCAGTTGTCAGGGAGCGAGTGGAACCATAGGAAGAGCAGCACACGCACACCCCGACAGGAGACCATTTCCACACTGCATGTCGGTTTAGTTTATGTAATCCCCAATACCCAGAGCAGCTCAGGAGCAGTGGCTGTTGGCTGCATACATTAGATGACACACTTTCACTTTCAGGAGGGACTCCAGACGGTGCAGTAAACATGTGAGGCCTAGATACAGAGATAGCATTGCATTTCCTATGCACCGCCACTGGCTGGCATCTGCTTTGTGGCGGCTCATGTAGCGAAGAAAGCAGCAAGGCTTCCATGAAGTCACTAAATTAGTTAAAATAACCATAACCAGCTATTCTACAGTTCATCGGCCGTGTCTGGGCAATACTGCGGTTTTATTTGCTGGATCATGTGTGTCAACTCTTCAATTTAATTTTTTATTTTTTTTCCAGGAGGCAAGAAAAAAAACCCAACATAAATAGCAATTAACCGTGCCAGCTTTTAACACTGCAGACATACTGAGGTGTAAGTGCAACTGTGAAAAGAAAGGCAACATTTAGTGGATTTTCTGGTTTTTTATAGTCCGACATAAACATGCATTGATAGAGAAGTGATGTAGAACATAAATACCACAGTAACACTTGAGCACAGCAAGCATGGAAAGAATAATCTGATACAAATGATGCACTCAGACTTTCTCCAAATACTTACAGCAAGTTTCACAGACGTGCCTTGACTTAAAGCCGTTTTGAGCTGAAAGCCTTCTTCAGTGTAGGATCAGGCTTATCTAATCCATGTCTCTGAAACCAGCCAATACAGCATCAAAGGCTGCTTGCTTATTTGCCTTTTTTCCCCAGCAGAGTTGGACCTCACCCGGAGCTGTCAAGGAATATTGTCTTGGCTTTCTAAAATGTGATTCAGCCTAGAACCTCACAGATCACAAGATAAATTGTACTTTTCACCTTCTGCAATGCAGTGATTTGAATCCAAAATTCATACACACAACTGAGGCATTGCAAGAGCAAACTGATCATTTTCCAACTTTTAATTTTCTCATTAAAAAATCTTATGATCCCATTCTCAGTCTGAGCAGTTTGAACATAAGTGTGAATCATAAAAAAAAAAGTAGATGGGACTATTTGACTTTGATTATGGAGGTGATTGTGGATGATATCTCACCCTTTTCAATTACTGTCACTGCCAGAGTGTAGCTGTAAATTAGTGGACCATAGCTTCGTTAATGACATCAGTGGACTAGTCCTCGATAATGACTCACTTGTCACTTGCTCAGACTTGCTACACAGATGATTCTGACCACGGGCGCTCTGTTGCATACTGAGGAATACAACAGGTGGTTTTTGATCATCACGCTCGTTTTTGCTGTTCTTGATTTCTTTTTTTTCTTTTCTTTTTTTAACCATCAAAAGGACACAGATGGGATCTGTTCAGATTACAGGGCCTTCCTTTGTCAGAAACTCACCAAGTGTGCATCAAAATGTAGAGAAAACTGGAGAAATTATTACAGGAAAAAGAGTTAATGGTAATCAAAAACCCATTTAAGATGTGACATGTGTGGAAGTGCAGTTTAGGGCTTTGTTTTTGCTGGTTTTGCTGTTTCAATACACCGGAATGGAAATCTTGTGTGATATTTGTGATATTTATGGTGACACTGTCGATGTATTTAATTATGTGAAGAATTTCACATGCTGAGAGAGAGGAGAACAGTCACAGCACATATCACACTTGTCTGCTAAAAACTGGAGTCTGTCACTCTTTCCTCTCCCACAGCTAATGGACATGGCAGAGCCTGGAAATGTGAGTATGTGTTATTTCTAATGTAGATGACATGGATAGGGATATAAATAGGAATTGAGACAATACTCTGAACCCCGGTTTCTTATTTTGTGCACATTTTCCTCCATGTTGATGTTTTCCTCTTTAGATTCTGTTCCTCTACTTGAATCCTTTCATAATTTGTTTCCCCCTGTCGGATGCAATGTTGAAACCTTTCTGAGAGCAAGTCATATTTGGCAGAAATTATGTACTTTGCTAAAGAGAACATGAGAGTCACATTGATTCACACCCCGGCAGACTGTGATTTTTCACAGCTTCCCCCAACATAGCCTACATTGACAGAATACCTCTTTAATGTGTTCCTACGAGATAAAATGCTTCCACAGGCGATTAACCATTCCACCCCACTCCCATTCATTTCACTTCATCAGATTACTTGATTGCTTGCTAAATGGACTGCCTCTCCCCCAAGGGAAATATACTGTATGTATTTCCTTTGGACAAAATGAGACGTGGTTGATTTATTTTTCCTTGCACACTGTGTTTTTTAGACATTCGATCAGTCTTAGTTCAGTTCATTCAAGTGTACCTCAGGTTTTGAGATATTATTAATCCTTTCCAACACATATTTTATATTCAGGTCTACATATTTGCCTAGAGCTGTTTTTAGAGTTTCAGGTCGTGAATAGTGAAATTGGGAAAGTATCTGTGGTAGTTTATGTAGACTGAATTAAACAGTGAACCATGTTTCTGTTCCAATTTACATATTTCCTCCTCCATTCAGGTTCTAAAAACAATCTGACTGAGACCATCAGCTTTCTAAAGCCCGCCAGCCTGACTCTTGCTACCTGCATCACATACAGTATACATACAAAGGAAAAGTTTGACATTTTGAGAATTGTGCGTATTCGCTTTTTTGCCGAGAGATAGGTGAAAAGATCAATACCTCTCTCATTTTTTTCCTGTTAAATAAACAAAGCTACAGCCAGGAGACGGTACGCTTTGCTTAGCATAAAGACTGGAAACATGGGGAAACAGCTAGCTGGCTCTGTACAAAGGTAACAAGCAACAGGCATGTTTAATGCTCAGTAATTCATAATAATAAAGTTATATCTCCAAGGTTTACACTAAAGTGTGAAAACGGACTTTTAACATGGATCATGCGCTGGACTATTTCTTGGCTAGGAGCAGTGACTTCTTGTGTCCAGTCCACTAGACTCCAGGAGAGTGTAGTAATAGTCTGGCACACCACAAATTCTCATTATTACAATTCCTTTTCTGGTATGGATTGAACAAACGTGGTATAACGTGTTCACTAGGGAGCCTTAGAGGTGCTAGGTAGATTTTGTTACCTTTGGACAGAACAGGGTGAGCAGTTTCCCCCTATTTCCAGGCTTTTTGCTAAGCTAAGCTAAGCTTACCGGCTCCTGGCTCCGGCTGCATATTCGACAGACAGATATAAGCGTTATTTCAATCTTCTCGTCTTACTCTTGGCAAGAAAACAAATGTAGCCACCTATCGGTCCAGCTCAAGTCATAGGAACAGGGATCATCCATCCCTGAGCCGGATCATGATGACCTAGGTGAACGGCTACCCACTACCGTAAACATCTACGTACATCAGAGAAGTAATATTTGTTCAGTATATGAGAAGATTCACCGCGTGTGTAGTTTTAGCTGTTCAGTAATAGCTGAGTGAGATCTTGCTGCCTGATGCTGTTTCCTCATCAGCCTCCCAGGAGATGAAATAAGTCCTACACCTTGACGTCCTCCTGATTTTGAGTGCTAAAGACATTGACATTGCTTTTCACAGTGTATGATTAAATTGAATTCTGCCTTCTCCTGAGGGGCTTTTTCACTTAAGGGGGGGTAGTGATGCAGGTCAAATGAACAGATCCCTTGCTGTCTGGGTGTAGTCATGTGTGAATTAAACGCCTCATCACTTCGCAGATGCAGTGTCAGCTGTGTAAGTTAATTGTGATGGTCTTCCACATTTACAATATACACACGAGCATGCATGGATCTGTATACCAAAAGCAACCTAACACACCAGTCTTTGTCCATGCTGTATTTTACTCAGCAGCATGCTTGAGATGCTACGTTATCACATTCTGAGCTAATTCTGAATGAAAATGTTTTTTAAAATATC